AAAAAAAAACGACAGGAGTCTTAACGCCATATCGAAAAAACGATCTCTCTTTCATTTGAAGCCAAGGATGCCTGTCTTGAGGAATACATTTCTTTGCCATGGGCACCTTGCATGTACGGGCAAGCTCTAAACCAACCATTGATGTGTGCAGTCCAACCATACGATACTTATTCCCTCATTTCTAGGAATGCCAACCAGACTATGACATAGAGAGCCTCGTTTTCAGGTCAGTTATCTGCATGCGCTCTCAACCACTTGACGGCATCAAAGAAAGCACCCTCTTTTGCTGCCTTAGCCACAGGATCCGACTATACACACCTTTATTTTCCGCGACACGTAGATTAAAAGAGAGCTAACTCACCAGATTGGCGCGCACAGCAAATCCGTGCCCTACACCAGCAAAGAACGTACGATTGTAGCCTGGAGGATACCTCCCAAATCCAAGGATGTCGTCGGCTTCAGCCTGTAGGGCTGGAGTAAATGCTGTGTCTAGCTCAGCCCTATCAGAATAATTAGTGAATGATCGTAGGATGAAACTTATTTACGTACGTATTAAACTGAATCGGGACATCGGAGTCGTTTCGCAGAAGGAAGAAGTCGTCTGGTACGGTGAGCATCGACGGATGGGCCATAGTGCCAACTTTGATTCTGTTTTGCTGTGAAAGACGGGTAGTATACAGACCTTATAAAAAAGCCTCAGCAACTAGATTACAATGATTCAAGGGAATCACCTCCGAAGCAGTATCCCGTGGCCACAAACTCCGTGAATCCCTCCTCCTGGAGCCCTTCAATGGCAGCCAGAAGCGTAGGCATTGTCTGTGCCTCACCATGGTTGACCGCCCATGCCGTGATATTGAACTGTGTAATGGTTAAAGAAGCCAACAAGACGATAAAAAGCCCACATTTGGGTCGTCAGCAGGAACTGGGTCTCCGTTCAGATAATCAGGAGCGAAAGTGTCAAAGCCATTCGCCGCGAAATCGTCCACCATTAACTGGTGTAAAAAAATTCAGAACAAATTACAATGGAGTATGTTTCACGAACCAAGCTGTTAACCGAAGCTATACCAAATATATCTTTGTACTCATGTCAGGTTTTGAATCAATGTCCAGGGTTTTGACTTACCCGTCAAAAATACAAGTGCCCGTTTTGGGTTTGCAGGAGGATTGGCTCTGGTGACGTAAGTATCCACTCCGTTGATTTTCTCAATGTCACCTAAATCCAGTGTCCCTACTAAGCACTTCTATCACGACGCAAGGCAAGCGTGACAACTTTACCTTTAGGAGTCCCTTCAAACGTGACTCCTTTAATGCAATCATCGGTAAGTGGAATAAAAACACTCGAGACACTGAGAGCGAGTGAAGCAAGGAATAAGATGGTGGCACCAGATTTCATTGTCGCGACAAGCAAGTTCAAGAGGTACCTTTGAAGGGCGGTCCGGTTTTATAGTCACGGCTGGTATGCGTGATCAAGGACCGTGTGGTTCAACACAGATAGCCACCTAAGCAGAGCATTCTGCTATGGGTGATGGATCTCCTGACATTGTATGGGATTGCCAAATACTACCGTTTTTCCCTAGACCTTCAGAACGTCGAACTTTGGTTTCCTCATGAGGGTATAAGGATATGTAATGTTGTGGGAAAATGAAGATTGCAAAGTCTCAAGACCATCGAGGATGTCAACTAAGAACGTTCCTGTGAGAAAGAGTCGAGAAAAGAGGACATGTACTTTCCATGTCCCGATTGAATCAGCGGATGACTAATACCGGAATTTCGACGGTCCGGAACTCCCTCTGGGCGCCTATTTTTTGTTGACCCTTGCATTCACGCGTCGCTATTAATGGATTTCATCATGCCAGGACCTGGCGCTGTTAGAATGCTCTGCCTCGCTTCCTACTTCTACAAGTGGCTTACTTATTGTTGCGGAATCAAGTTCTGCCTTTTGTAGTGGGTAGACTCCAATTCTTCTATCATTTTCGACTTGCAAGTC